TGCTGTTGTGTGTGTGTGTGTGTGTGTGTGGTGTGTGGTGTGTGTGTGTGTGTGTGTGTGTGTGTGTGTGTGTGTGTGTGTGTGTGTGTGTGTGTGTGTGTGTGTGTGTGTGTGTGTGTGTGTGTGTGTGTGTGTGTGTGTGTGTGTCAAAGATCACACAGACAAGAATCATCACAAGACACTGTTGTGGTCACATATCTGCAGGAGAAATGGTGTGTGTGTCACTGAGCGTGTTTTTGTTTGTGTGAGAAACACTATTTATGAACTCCTGATGGACATGAGACTTTATTGATAGGAAAACCTGCCTTTCAAATATAAATAATATACAAATTACGGTACTTAGAAATATATTTATAGGAAGAACGGAAGCTGTGTTCACTTAAAGCTGTTGGGAAAGGTGTTGGTTTGAATAGGAACAATTTTGAAGTTGTCTTGTAATATTTTTCTGAGAATCTGTGCCATAACATATGACCTGTTGCTAATAAGGAGTTGGGTTTTTAACTGCTGCTTTAGCAAGAGGTCATTTTTAACGGCACTTTAGAGATTTTTGGCATCAGTTTTGTGAGATAATACCTCATTTACTTCAGTAAACCGTTAAAATGAACCCTCAAATTGAACAGATTCACGATGAAAGTGCCGTCTTGTTCCAGTGATACTGAACTGATCTTTGATCTCACTCCATCCTCACTCATTTGGCTGAAACCAACGGCCCTAAAAAGGGAAATAAGTTCGTCCGAGAAACAGATCTTGGGTTTGTTTGATAAGGGTCCAGCTCTCATTGGGACCGGTTGGACTCCCGGCTGTGTTTCTTCCACATGGCTGGATCACATGAACTCAGTCCCCTCTCACACAGACTGTTGTGTCTGCAGAGAACAAGAAAACTGAGGTGAACTCTATTCACACCACACCTTTTCCATCGGACGTCACTAACTGCGTCACAATGTGAAGAAAACTGAAACAATATGAGAGCTAAACAAAGGCAGGACTGGTTGAATTGTTCATGTAACGTATGCAGCCCTGACCCTTTTCCAGTTCCAGTTCAAACTAAAAGTCTTAGATCTTCTGGTTTAGTTTTAGCTACAGGTAAACATGGATTTGTAAATTCATGCACAGCTACACTGCGACTAAGGGATAGTTTTACAGCATCCATCCTCTGTTAGTGGCTGCAGGATAACATCTGAAAATAGCCTGTGTGATTTTGTGTGTAAAAGCACTTTAGGTTTCCTTTTGGTCACATTTGGTTTGCTTGAACGTCTGAAACCCAAATAAATGTATGTTATTATACACGATACAGAACAGATCAAAGTTAAATACAGCATTATCTGTCATTATTGAATGAAGAATGACTTTCAACACTTAATCAAATAATCACAATATTGATTGACCAATTGTTGTGTCTGTTTATGTGTGTGTCTGTGTGTGTGCGTGTGTGTGTGGGGTCAGCGAGTGCGTCAGATGAAGCGCCGCGACTCTCATTGTTTTGTATCCTGAAAGTGTCTGCTGGGACCTGCAGTAACAACAATGGCCCCCACAGACAATCAAAGAGTGACACACACACACACACACACACACACACACACACACACACACACACACACACACACACACACACACACACACACACACACACACACACACACACACACACACACACACACTTTGATTTATGACAGCCGCTTTGTGGTCTCTTATTATT